AAACAAGCACAGATTTAAAACAAGCTTTTCTGTTTCTAACATGTGCTACGTGGCCCAATGTCCAAATCATTCTTTGAACATACCGACACGATAACATACAAAATGCTAAGCACTCAAGAAATACTGCTTACCATCCCATCTGGCAATTCCCTCCTTGAACCAAAAGCATAATAAGTGACCTCTTGAAATATTAGGTCGGTGTTTCCTAAATTTTATTCTCTCAGGACCCCTTCCTACTTTTCAAAATTATGGAGGATCCCAAAAGAGCTTTTTTTTTAATATGGTTTATATTTATAGATATTCACTATATTAAAATTTTTAAATGATGCGGTGGCTGTTGCTACCACTTATCACAATTGTTTGATGGGATTAATATTGTATTACTTTTCAACATTGGCTAGCAAATAATTTTTATTTTGGGAACCCCTGAGAGGGTCTTGAGAGACCCCCAGGGGTTCTAGGACCACATTTTAAGAAACACTGTATTAGGTATATCTTGATCTACTTACTTAAGTCCTCATTCCATTTGTAATAATAATAGTTGGATCTCACATTACTTCTCAGGGTGGTCTGGATACAAGTCAAATCAGTTAAATCAAGTCACAAACAACATTGAAGTGTATTCAATGGATTAATTTTGGGGGGCACTGCAGTGACACAAAACCATAGAGGATCCAAGGTACACAGTCCCTTGATACCACATTATTTCTGCGTATGATCCATTTGAAGCCATCATCTAATCAGCAATCCTATATGCTCCAATGGAATGAGCATCCAATTATGGATCCAACTATTTCTGGCTCTAATATGATGCAAAAACTTAGATCCAAGGCCCTGATTCTCAGGGGCCTATGTGAATTGTTTGCATGTGCTCAACCTGAAGCCACAGATAAATCACAGATTACTTATATCTGTATAGAAAATGAATAGTGAATCAAATCAATGATTTGAAGGTTTCTGGTACAACAGGAACAAAAACATCCTCTTGATGTCACATGTAGGAGTGGAGTGTGGTATTACCAGTATGTGAATGATACCCAGTTGTACATCACCACCTGAACTGTGTCAGAGATGTCAGATTCTGGTTTTGGTGTCTGGAAGCTGTTGAATGGGATGGAACATGTTAAAGCTGACCCCAAACAAGACAGAGTTGTTGTTTGTTCGTTGTGATGCTATGTCAGTCCTGGTACTGTCTCTGGAGGTGGAAGCACCATTCCTGAAGGGACCAATCTGTAATTGGCTATTCTCCTGGATTCATGGCAACTGCTGGATGGACAGGTGGAGATCATAACCAGAGTGCCTTTGGTCAGCTTTGGTTGGTATGCTAGGTGTAGCCCTACCTGGAGTATGAGAGCCTTGTAACAGTTATTTATACTCTTCTCTAAGCTACTGCAATGGGCTCCACATAGGTCTACTTTTGGAGACCATTTGGCAACTATAGTTGGTACAAAATGCAGTGCCCTACTTATTGGCTTGCACTTATCAACATGAGCATATTGATCTATAAAGCCTTCTGTAGGGTTTGATGCCTAGATTCTTGTAGGACTGTCATCTCCAGCTAGAATGGACCCATCCAATATGCTCTTCCCAGGAAAAAACTCGAACTGTGGGAAAGCATTCTCTTAGAAGCTAGACTTGCTTTCTCTTGGCAGCTTTCTATAAATTGGTTAAAATGTAAAAGGCTCTTCTGAAGAGCATATGGTGACTAATTACATTGGTGCTATTTATGTGTATTGATATACTGTTGTCCTTTTTGTGGATCCATTTTATTTATTTTTAACTTTATTTAACTTCTAATTTAACTATGTTATATGTATACTGTAGATGTCTTAATTTCATTATGTATTGATGGTAGCTATTAGGAGTCCCTGAAGATTACAGGAGTATACAAATGTAATAATTAGATAAAAGGACTGGATAATATAAACAGGGAACAATTATTTCATGGTGTCAAAGTACAAATAAATAACATGAAGTGCTGATCCTCGAAGAGCCTCATAATTTTAATAGAGCATGTTTTTAATTCAAGCAATTTTGAATAAGCTAATTGAAAATAATTTTTGAAAAATATTAATCAGCTTCTAATATACCACTTTAAAATGTGGTGCTGGAGTGGATAGTATCCTGGCAACTCCTGGCACTATTAAATAGCAATAATTCTTTTCATTTTTTTCCAATGTGGTTTCCAATCAGAGTTTTGAGCCATAAACTTTTCTGATTGACCTGGAAATACTATATTATATGAGAATGAATGAGGAGGATGTGACTATTTGGTTTCCCTACATCTCTCAGTGATTACTGAATCCCCAATTGCTTTCTCCTTCAGAAGCGTCTTTCTAGATTGGGACCAGGTGTTTAGTATAGCAATGGCTCCAGTCTTTTTTGGAGAACGGGGTTCAGTGGCCATTGTTATTACTGAGGGATTTTTTTTCAACCCTCCAGCGATTAGCACAATGAAAGCTCGTTCAAGATCTCATTTTGTTCACCCTACATGAAATTCTGCTGGGAACTTCATTTGGAAGCTTGGCTTGAGCTCAGCTTCTCTTTGTATCTTCTGATCCCAAACAGATGGCAGAAACATTGAGAGGACAGATCTATCCCAGCGCTATGTACTTCAATATGGAAACTGTATGAATCATGAAATATACAATGTCAACCTCTTGACAATGGCTTCCTTTCAAAAATCTTTTTTTTCTATGACTCCTTTTATTGGCAATTATAGGCTTACAAAGTATTTCAAAGTTGCAGAACTTCAGTATGCTACAGTACCTAGCCAATCTTGGCTGATCTTGAAAAGCTAAGCATGTATGGAGTAAATTAGGACTTCCCGTGTCCACCCTTGTAGGCTGGGCATCCTAGAAGAAAGCAATGGCAAACCACTTCCACATATTGCCAAAGCAAACTACATAGTTCTGCCAATGCAATCATCAGGAGTGGAGATCAATTTCTATGAGTCCACACTTTTGTCTATTAATTTTATTTGTGGTATGTCATTAAAAGAAAATGCAGATTATTTACAGGTACAGAAGAAATGAAACCCAATAGTTTTCCAACCCCATTATGAAAAGACTAAGATAGGGGTTGTTGAGAAGATTAGTTGTTAAATCCATGAGAAAATGGACATTTTCAGGTGAAATTATTTAGAAGGCAGGCATTTGGGGAGGAAATAATGAAATATATGTGCAATTTCTATCTGATCATTTATGGGATAAGTAGGAAGGTGGAACTTACCTGCCCACAGATCAGGTTAAGACAAAAAGGTATCTATGGACAAGTGTTCAATTTATTTAAAAACTTAATTTCTGTGTTTATTAAAGGATTACTGTTAGATAATGATCTGTTCTGCCTTTAAAGTTCTTGCAGAACTTCAGTATGCTACAGTATCTAGCCAGCTAAATTGATGGTCATAATTACAGCAGATAGTAGCAAATTCTACCATTTAACAATAGACAAAGCCAGTGTGGTATAGTGGTTAAGGTGTTCAGCAGGGAGTCCACCCTCAGTGATGCAAGCCCCCTGGATGACTCTGGGCCAGTCACATTCTCTCAGCCTAGCCTATTGCATATGTTGTGGCTATGTGAAAAAATAGGAGGAAGGAGTAGTATATATGCCACCTTGAGTTTCTAAATTAAAAGCAGGATATCAATAAAAATAAGAATAATAATTATACGTCCTGAAAGAAATACTATACTTCATTTTATCAATCCTGAATCTTTCCATATTTATTTTCAGTGGATACCTAATACTCCTTCCTCTTCCTATTTTCCCCACAACAACAACCCTGTGAGGTGAGTTG